CCTCTCTCGGGTTTCGGCCGGGCTGGGGCCTCCTCCGGGGGGGCCTGTTCGCTCCGGGGGCTGTAGCTCCTTTCGAGCCGCCACCGGCCACAACTTGGGTCGGGGTTCAGGGTTGGGAGGTCTCGGGTGCCGATGGCTGTTGCCTGCCAGTGGTCCAGAGGCTCCCGCCCCACGAGAGTTCCCCTTCTCTGCGCCGCCCTTGCAACCAAGGCTCTCGGCTGCTCGGGGTGGCGCCTCTTCCCCCTCGGCCGATAAGTAGTCCTCCATTAAGGCCACTGTTGCGGAGAGGGTGGCCGGTCGATGCCGTCGCACCCAGGCCCTCCCTCCCGGGGGTAGGATCTGGGTGAACTGCTCTAAGGCTACCAGCTCCGCCACCTGGGGTCCCGTCAGGCCCTCTGGGTTCAACCACCTCCAGCAGTGGTCCCGGATGCGTTGGGCCACGGCGCGGGGTCGGGCCCCTGGAGGATATTGTTCCTTATGGAGACGTTGTTGGTAGGTCTCTGGGCTAATGCCGGTGTGGTCTAGGATGGCCGCCTTCACTCGGGTGTACTCGAGCGCTTCCCGGGGGTCGAGGCTCCGATATGCGGCCTGAGCCTGCCCCGTCAAATAAGGGGCTAGTAACGTGGCACAATGTTCTGAAGGCCACCGGGCGGCGGTCGCCACCCGTTCAAATGTCACCAGATAGGCATCTGGGTCGTCCTCAGGCCCCATCTTGGTGAGGCGTACCGGTAGTGCTCCTGGGTTATCCCCCAGTCCGGTCCCCAAGGGGGCGGCCGGGGTGCCTCCCGCCGGGCGTAATAACACGGCCATCTGTTGCACCAAATGTTCCTGCTGCACCCGCTGCTGGGTGGCCAACTCTCGGAGGAGCTGCTGCTGATTCTCTTGGTGCTGAGTCATCATCAGCTGCTGCTGAGTGGTCATTTGCTGCAGCATTTGCACCTGCTGCTGGTGCTGCTGGGCCGACTGCTCCTGCTGCTTCTCTAGCAGCCATTTTAATAACGTCTCAGCTTCCATGTTGGGGTTCAGCGGGTTACTCCCGATTCAATCCCCACACTCTGGACCCCTTTGGTGGGTCCGGGTCTGTACCCACAATCTGGGTCAACCGTCTGTCTGCGCAAGACACTGCTCTGGGCAATAGTCCGCAGTCTTGACGCTGGCCCCTCGTATCAGGGGCGGACCGCTATGCCCGAATTCTCCACCACGTGTGACAGGGTAGTAGCTCACCGCTGTGGCGCCTCCTCCTGGTCGTCTTAGGGAATTAGCTCGAACCAGTAGGGCGCCCTTTCGGGTGGCGTCCCGCCTGTCGTTCCACCTGCGTTGGGTGCGCGGACTTGCGTCACCCTCAATGTACGGAGTCCTCTTCCGGAGCACTGTCCTCCGACAGTGTCCCTTTCGTCTCTTCACACGCCCTTCCGGGGGGGGGTAAACAACAGCCCCACGCCTTCAAGTCCGATCCTCACAGTCCAGGACCAGGCGTGATTCTGGCCAGCCGCTCCCTGCGGCCTATGGATGTGCGTATGACAGCACAGCAAACAAAGGGGGAAAAAAGGGGGGGAGGACTCAGGCCTGCCCACTACTCTGAGTCCCGGTCCAGAGGCCCTTGGGTGACAGCCTCACTGTCTTCCTTCTCCTTCCTCCTCTGACTATCCCTCTGGACTGCTTCCCCAACAGCCCTTCGCTATGCTAGGCCTCCTCCTCCCAGGCCTGCCGCCTAGCAGGCTATGGAGTGGGGCCTTCTCCCACTCTCTCAGGCTGGCCTGCACTGCGCTGTCTGTGGTGCTGGCCTCCCAGCTCTGGAGACAGACCTTCCCCTCTGAAGGCCAGGGACAGACTGACTGCTCCTGCTCTGGGCAGCCTTTTATATGGCTAAGCCGGGCCCTGATTGGCTGGCTCCAATCTGCCTTCTGATTGGCTCCCAGTAAGCCCTCTCCTGATTGGCCGCGCGTCTACGCAGGCGCCTAGGCCTGCCGCAGCCCAGTCTCGCTGGGTGTGGGGTAATCGCCCTACCACAATGCCCCTTTCTTGCCCACGCGGGGCTGGCCCACTCTCACCTTCCATGTGCCAGGACTGAGCCGGGGGCTGGGGTGGCTTTGCTGTGGGTAGTGGTTCCCGTTGGAGCTGCAGCCCCCACCTGCCAACCCCTATTTCATGCAGCTGCAGCAAGCATCTCAGCCATTCTCCCTACTCACTGCAAGCTAAGACCCTAGAGGAGAGCCCCTACTGAGTGCGGGGTGGGGAGGAATGCAGAGCCTTACTGTCTGCAGCCTGGCTGGAGGAGGAGAGAGGAGATGAGAAACCAATTTGACAGTGAGTTTTCCCATTCCACCTGCTTTTATTAGCTCTGGATTTAAGCTGTGCAGCCAAATGCTTGTATTTGTGGTGTATATTTGTATTGGAGAGATCCCTTCATCCAGGGGGCAGAAAAGACCTGCCCCTGCTATGGTCAAACACACCCTCCCCCCAGCAACTGTGAGTGAAATTAACAAGGATGCCAGAAACGGCTCCTTACCCCACGGGCTGAACCATGCAGGGAACAGCTGAGACTAAGCTATTCTTATGCAGGGGGCTGGCTTCTCCCACCCTCAGCCAGTCTCCTTTTCTTACTGGTCCTCCATACTGGCCTGTACCGGCTTACTTTCACCTCTGGAGATGGGAATACCAGCATTTATCGACATGCCGTCCAGCTCTGTGCACTGGGTCAGCTGTAACTGGATGGTGGAGGGAGTAGTTGGAGCACCTTGGCAGAGCTGTTACTGTGGTATGCAGAGAGGTGCATGTGAATCCTGAGGGACCTAGTCTTCCCCATTTCAATGCACTCAATGGGCTGTTGCTGAGACAGGGCAGATTAGAGGTGACATTGTGGGAGTGCCATGGACCTTAACTCTTCATTTCCCCTTCTAAGAATGGAGGGGACAGGAATCCTTACCCAGCGAGGTCACATTCTCATCGTTCTCCTGCATGACGTCTCTGCAGAGGGCTCTTTGAGGGGGGTCCAACAGAGCCCACTCTTCCCTGGTGAAATACACAGCCACCTCCTCAAAAGTCATCAGCCCCTGAAAGAGCAAGAACTATTCATGGGGAAAAAGAGCCAATCAAATGGATACTCTGAGAGAGACACAGTCAGCAGAGTCCCACCCCCACTTTGCTCAGAGCAACCAGGAGGCAAAACAGGAAGCGAGATAGAGATCCCCTCATCCCTCCCCTTTGAATCTCGTAGCAGCCTCTGGCGAGTAGGTTTATGTTCTTGCACTGGGAATCTCATACATTTTCCCAGCACTGTCCAGTGTTCCCCCACCAGCCCCGTTCTACAAATACGATAATTTCCTCCCCAAACCCCATGAGTCTGTTCCAGGAATCCAGGACTTGGGTTAAACAATTCCCAGCAAGTTTGTCACATGCCTTGTCCCCCTCCCTTTCTCCACCCTGGGTATTTCCTGCCCCTATGCCACTTCCAGACTGAGCTCCCCCAAAGGTCCCAGACCCTCAGTATTTCCTGCCCCTCTCCCTCTAGCAGGAACTCACTAGCAACCCCGCAATAATCCCTACCTGGACTGGCTCCACTACAGCCAGTTCCCTTCCCTGTCCTGTGGGAGGCTGGGACAATCTGGAGCCAAAGGTGGGCATTACTCTGCTGCCTGTCAGGGTGAGAAGGGTGACAGGGAAGATTTCAGAAGTTAGTTCCTGTCACATCATAATTTGCCCTGGCCCTTTACCTGCACAAGATGTTTCTGAGTCATATGCTGGGAAAACATTCCATCACTTTATCACAGCGCAGACCCAACCCCTCCCAGCAGCACTAAACCCACTGTGCTAGTTTTAAAACCCTGGGGGCAACTCCCGCAACGCTGGGGACCAGGCAGAGGCAGGGACAGGACAAAGACTCCATAGTGCTGGTGTGGTAAATTAAATGAAGTTTGATGGTGATATTAAGATGGAAGCCATTGTCAATAGAGACAAATAGTGGAAAATTAAGTGGGGCTCACTTCCATTTTATGTATTATGTTGCTCAGCCTCATGCTTCAGGGCCACAACTCGCAGGGGTCAGGAAGGGATTTTTCCCTCCAATGTATTTTGAGAGGGTTTTTTAATCTCCTTCCTCTGAAGCTTCAGGAACGGCTGGAGAAGACAACAGGCTATTGGGCGGGGTGGACGAGGGCTGTGAGGAGACATCAATCACTCTCTCTCTCAGGGATTGGCTGGCTGGTTCTTGCTCCCACACTCAGGGTCTAACTGATCACTATAAGTGGGATGGGGAAGGAATATTCCCTCCGCGAATCAGGCTGTCAGTGATCTGGAGGGTTTTCATCTTCCTCTACAGCGTGGGATGCGGGGCACTCACTAGGATTACTCGTTATTATCTCACTTAACCATTTCGCTGCCACTGCAGGGGCCTGGAGCACTGGTGCACCCCAGTCGCTCCTATTCTCTGCCTAGGGCAGAGTCTAGTCTCCTGGTGACTGCAAGACTTTTGTCTCACTCCAGCTGTTGGATTTAGTGGGTGGGTGCTGGGTGGTGTTGGCAGCCAGTGCTAGAGAGGAGATCAGACCAGATGATCCAGTGGTCCCTTCTGGCCTTAGACTTCATGACTCTATGACTGGATGTGGGCAGGTTTGGGAGCTTGTGACCTTCCCCCTGCCCCCGCAAACACACACTTATTTCTCCTTCATTTTCTGTCTTCTCTTTTACCCTCTCCCCTCCCTCTGCCTGGGAGACTTAGTAACCAATGATCCCTGGGTTCCTTTGCTCTCCTGCAATCGCTGACAGCACCGAATGCTGGTTTGGATCCAAACTTTCTGCCTCATCCCCATCTCTACTAACCACCAAAGATAATTCCAACAACACCCACATTTTGAACTCTCGTCCTTACTTCACTGTAAAAAGAAGACAAAAGTTCATAAGATCTTAAAACACCCTACAGCAACAAGTTGATGAAAAGTAGGTTAAATTATTTTCAGCCATGAATGCCATGCACAGGTGCAAGAAGACCAACTACAGAAAATTAAATTAATCCAAACAAAAGGGGGCTAATGTCATTCAGGGCCAGTACTAAGATCTATGCTTGGTGAACAAGAAAACATGGGAACAAAGTTACCTATGCCAAATTTGACCTTAGGGATATGGATTTAATTAGTAAACAAAATAATAAAAAATAAACTATGCCACCCACTTTTAGTCCTTTTGGGACTTTTAAAAAGAGATTGGGGGGGGGGGAGAAAGAAAATCATCTCCCACCTTACCCCTGACATGGCAAAACTGCTACTAAACTGATATATTTCCTTTCTGAGAGGCTTTTTTTCATTATATTTTAACTTGTATTCCCTCCTCTTTCTCCTCATGATGCATGATTATTAATTTGCACTTAATTTTGACCATAGCTCTATCCTGTTTCTCAGAAAGGCTGTAAGGGCTTGTCAATTAAAATATGTTCAAAAGAGACCCATTGCTCCCATGATTAGTGACTTTCTTAAAGTCTCTCAGTGCTTGTAAGTTAAACTATTTTTCTAAAAAGACCCCTCTTTTTAAGAACAGGATTAGTAATGAAACTTAATCTGTTTCGCACAAGCCATTGCCTCTGTGCCTTTACTCTCCGGTGCAATACCTTCAAATAATTCTGCTGAAGATGTTTCCCAGAAATTAATTATCATCGGGATGGCTAGGAATGTATTGGGGGGGGAATTAAGATTCTATCTGAAATGAATGCAATCATTCAAAGAAATATAAATTAATTTAAGGCATAATGTAAGCATAAAAAAAAGTTTAGATTAAAAAGTTAATTAAAAGAACCAAACAAACGTTGCATCCTTAAAGAAGTGCAGGTTATGCAAAAAAGAAATATTGAATTTTTGTTTTAACAAAATTAGATGCTAATAGATGCTTTATTTAAAGTGTAAAAATCAGCTACAACCTGTGTCACAAGAGGTAAATAGTGCAGTAAAATAATTTAAAGTTAAAAATGTGAATAGATTACCCATTTAAAAAGTCACAACAAAAAAAGTCTATTTTTTTAAAAAGCCAAAAAACGCTAACTTTACTAACAAACTTTCAAATAAATATGCTAAAGAAAAAGCTCCGCCTTTGTATTTTTTAAAAAAAGTATCTAGCAGCCATTCAAAAACAGGAAAAGTTGTCAAGGTCTTAGTGGTCTTTAAAAAAAAGCTTTAAAATCAGACTATGTAACTATTAATATAACTGCAATTAAAACTGCAAAATAAAATTCTTAAAATTAATGTAGTCAGTAAAAAATGCAATAATTAAAGTAAAAGCAAATAAAATTAATGAGTACTAAAAAAAATTGTAAAACACTTTAAGTGCTTACTTGATGTTGATGAGCTCAAACAGGTATCGGCAACCTTTGGCATGCGGCTAGCCAGAGTAAGCATCCTGCTGGGCCTGACGGGTTTGTTTACCTGCCGCGTCCGCTGGTTCGGCCGGTCACAGCTCCCACTGGCCGCAGTTTCCTGTCCCAGGCCAATGAGGGCTGCAGAAAGTGGCGCGGGACGAGGGATGTGCTGCCTGCCGCCCCCATTGGCCTGAAGCGGCAAACCGAGGCCAGTGGGAGCCGCGATCGGCCGAACCTGAGGACGCCGCAGGTAAACAAACCAAACCGGCCCACCGGGGTGCTTCCCTGGCGAGCTGCATGCCAAAGGTTGCCGATCCCTGAGCTAAAATATTTAAGAGACAAGTCAGTTGAAAATATACTGGTGCAAGAACAAAGTAACATTGCTTCACATTATTACACAGCTTCCAGGAGCTGGAGACTGTGATCCCTGTTGTTAACATGGTTATTGGTCTGAAATCTCCCCATGGCCAGTCAGAGACAGACACGTGCCTGTGTCGCTCCCCAGCACCGTCGCAGAGTCTCTAGGGAAAGGAGAAGATGGGAGAGCTGAGAATTCAGGCCCTCGCATTCATGGAAAAATCCCCATTGCTTATTAATGTAACTGCTGTTAACTATGAGATGGTGACAGAGATCAGAGACCGATGACGCAGCTGCTGCAGACAGAGCCAGCCCCATAGGGCTGCTTCATGGGGAAGGGCGACTCGCTGAGCTGGGCTGTGAGATGGAGCCGAGGATCAGTGACATCACTAGAGTCCCTGACTCCTCCCAAGGGCGAGGGTCACTCTAACCAGAGGAGACGCCACCCCCAGACTCCAATTCACCTTTGAATCCCAGCAGCACCTCCTGCAGGATGGCACTTTTCAGAGAGAAATCGCTGAGTCTCTTCTCCAGCTCCACAAACCCGGGCTCTGGTTTCCGGAACATCCCGTCCTCCCTGCTGGGGAAAGGAGGGGTGAGAAATAGGCCTGATCCCCAGACCCTGAGCCCAGCAACCCCCAAACTCCAGGAAACCTGGATCTGAGCTTTGTAGCCTAAGATGGTCATTGTTATGATGAGTCACCTGCCCTCAACCCTGTGCTCCCCAGAGAGATGGGAAGTGTGGAGATACTAGAGCAAGGAATAGAGACATTGTTCAGGAGCTTTCTCAGGGATGCTCTGGTTCTGTGGGGGGCAGAGCCACCCCCTATGCTAGTTTACTGCAGTAACAAGTGGTACCAGCACTGGGATTATGTGGAAAGGGAGGAGACACAGACCAAAGAGTGGATAGGTCCTACATGCTGACAGTGGCCACAGACAGAGCCCAGGTCTCCAAGAGGGAATGAACGTGGGCCCTTAAACACCAAAAACCCTGAACCATTCAGCTGAAGCCATAACCCTGGAGCGTGCAGCTCTTTTGGCAGAGAGGGCGATATTGCACTGTCCGTTATCTTCAGTGGCCCAGGGCATCATTCTAGGAGACCTTGCTCTATTCACAGCAGAACACCCACTGCTCTCCATGGGAGCGGCAAACAGCAGAGGCTAACAGTGGGAGTTTGCCTGGGAGCTGTCCAAGAGGAGGTACGCTAAGTGCTGCATTAGGGGGGCTGTGTTAGTGGGCCTTGAGTGGGCCTGACTGGTATATAAGGGCAGTCAGCAGCGAACCAGCTGAGCGGCGAACAG